ACTGCTAAATCTCTCTTATAGACAATGTACCAACGTGGCGCTCTTCAAAAGTAAATCTATGCGCGGGTAAGACAATAGACACGACAAGTGACATGATAAAATTGTACCTTTCTTTTTAGGTGTTGTCCTGTTCAACTTGCCTTCTGTCTCCATATCACACTGAGCAAGAACGGATTTTCCAGATACAATAGAATTAAGCCAATATTTGCCACTGATTGCGTGACCTTCACTCAATTTGATTTCTTTACATGTCTCCGCAGGAAGCTCAGGTATGGATCCGAGAGGGACTGGAAAATTATAACAGGGATAAGAATTATGAAGGAAACTGGCAGGAGGGTCTAGAAGCCGCAAAGCAGCAAAACAACTAACAAATTTTAGCCGCGTATGTCGTACTTAAAGTCAACTGTATTTTTTTTTCGTTTTAAGCACAACCATAAGAAATTGACCATTAGCCGTAAAAAGGCAAAAATCTTAACGGTTAACCGTAAAAGCTATTAACCCATTGAGGCCCTCCCAAAGAAAGTGGCCGAAGAAAAAGAACTGGGAGAGAAAAAGTACACATGATGTATTGTTTGTAAAATTATATAACAGACCTTTCTAATGAGCTGCTTTGCGGTACAAAGATGCTCACATGGGTCCGGTCTCCTAATCTAGCGCCTTGCTGGCATAATTGCATCGTGTAATACCATAAAATATGCCGACGGATCTATATATCTTCGTATTTTGATTGGCTACATTTTTATAGTATGTATAAAAAACAAACAAACAAACCTCACCCCTATTCTTGTATCGTGTAAGATAATACCGGGATGAATCTGGCACAAAATCCTCAGGTCTAGCTTTATTTGTGCGGTCATTTAACTCACAGCCGCCTTCACCGAAAACATAGTTAAGGCTCTGACAGCTCTTATCATCCTTACAAGCTTGATGACACTCCAATGGGCTAGAAATCTTGATCGTCTTATTTTACACAGAACANATAATTTCCCTTTTTTTGTTTGTTTGCTTTTTTATTTATTTATTTATTTTTTTTGTTTCGTCTTTTCTCTCCCTCTTGAATTAAAATATTGCAGTAAAATTTCATGTTATACGGTCAGTAGAGTACTATTAATGTGTCAAAGAACATGATTGTTGTTTGGGTCAACTGAAAGAAATGTACAGATTATCGAGTCAAAGATTTCAAGTTAAATACTCAAAATTCCAATTTGATAACTCAATTCGTTCTCTGTTCAATGAATGCAAAATATATTATCCATGCTTCAAATTGAGCGACCACTACCGACAGTCCAAGACGGTTGTTTAGGCGAAAGAGGGCGGCATAGCTTGTCATCTACCTTAAAAATAAAGTTTCAAAATTATTATCATCACGCCTTATCTGTGTGGCTCAGATAAACGTAACTAAAGACCGATTATTGGACCTTAGTTTACATGTTATATTTTCAGTCTAGCAATGATTAAAAACACTTTTGCAATGCCTTTTCGGCGCAGTTAATCGTAACATGTTCCGAAGTTAAAATATTTCTTCCGACACTTTGACTAACAAAAGGAAACAAAAGGTGCGCTATACTTGAAATGAAAAAAGAGAAAATTAAAAAAACACAGCGGATGCTGCACTGAATTATATAGCTAAAAGCGCTAACCTTGCGGCACTGAACAGAATTTTACCAAGATCTCTTCGTAGAGGTGAATCCCTTTAAAATTTGATATCTTTTCGCACAACGAGGAATTATCTAGACCACAACAATTCAGTATGCATTATCGCGAATTGCAAATGAATGGCTTGAAGAGCTAGCAAAGCTGAAAGGGCAATAAATAATTAATCGCAATCAATATGTAAGAACGGAATGAAGATAAACAAGCTGAAAATGTGTTTATTGCATTTTAAATTCATTTTGGTTTTCTAAAACTTTGATTTGATTTGAGACATCCTCGGTGATTGGAAATTTAACAAATGGCGGTCAAGGCCACCTGAAAAATAGAAGCGAATATTTCTCCCGGAGATTTTAATTTTGCGTATGGCAGATCAAGCATTGGTCATAGAATTATCTCTCTTTATAGATACAGGTTGAAATTATTAGTGTTTTGCACGAAATTAGTTACGTAATATCCCTAGGGACATTTCTCTATAAAAATGAACATGCGTTTCGAAAATCGTAACGGGAACACAAGGTTCAAGAAAGGGAAAGGAATACAGAATTTTAAGTACAATTAGCTCAAGAACATTACGGCACAGTGCCTGAAAAGTAATTAGTGTAATCTATTTATTTCAGTTTGACTTCACATGCTCATAAGAAAGGAGTGCAGAAATAAAATTCCAAAATTTCCAGAGCTGTTAAGGTCTGAATACAAGTTCAATACAATTAGAGAATTGCAAATGGAGAAAAATCGAATGTAGAGGCTAATGGTGCGTTATAAATCAAATAAACATAGACAATCCCCGAAGGTGCTAACAGTTATCAACATATATAATTCATAAAATGGCTTAAAGTCTTACGTTAAAATATCTACAGCAATCATTTACTCAGCAAGACCTTATCATGGGAGCTTAGAATTTTTTTTCTTCCAAACTGCCGACTGGATAAAAGTCTCAATATTTTTCGCTAATTCCTAGCTCTACCATCAGGCCTTCTTAAAGGATTTCTTCATGCTTATCTTTTCATTTTTGAACGCATTAGGATATCTTTTCGTAAAGTACTAAATATAATTTTTACTGACGAATAGCACGATGCAATCACAGGCAGCCCAAGCTCTCTTTGAGAACCAGACAAGGAACACAATTTGCATATCGATTTATAAGGATTTGTGTGGGATTTTCTACAAGATAGCCATAGAGATAGTTAAAAGTGAAAATATTAAATAAAAATGGCTTACCTTATTCCATACGTGTATTGCTTGCTCCTGGTGTTGTTATTTTACCGATTTCACTTGATTTAATCGGTTTTTTTTTTAATCCTGGTTTTCTCTTCTAAAAGAGAAGACGAGGCCGAACACTTCTGTCCAGACAGCCTCCCGAACGAAGTAAAAAATCCCGAGCTAAAATGTACCCACGGCCACAAATCCACCGCAGAATTCAGGGGCAAAGGTTGGCCTTTCATTTCGATTCTCTAGCCACATAATCTCAGTCCTGCGATCGACGCCAGGCGGCTCTTCGTGTCCTCAGTGAAACGTTAAAACGTTTGTTGACATCCGAGTCCTTTTTAAACACGACACAACGACCGTTGAAATTGGTTTGGTAACCTCGTCATGTTGGCAAACCAAGACTCGCGGGGGTACTAGACCTCAACTTGTCAAAAAAACAAGTGTTCGGCCTTGTCTTCTCTTTAAGAAGAGAAAACCAGGATTAAAAAAAACCGCTTAAATCAAGTGAAATCCGTAAAATAATAACACCAGGAGCAAGCAACACACGTATAAAATAAGGTAAGCCATTTTTATTTAATATTTTCACTTTTAACTATCTCTATGGATATTTTTGTAGAAAATCCCATACAAATCCTTATAAATCGATATGCAAATTATGTTCCTTGTGTGGTTCTCAAAGAGAGCTTGGGCCGCCTGTGATGCAATGTTCTATTCTTATCACAATTGGCCGTGTCGATAAACAGGCTTCTAGCGTCAAAGAGTCATGCAGCGTGTCACGCAACATGTCACGCACTTAAAGAATCGTTTTATTTGACGTCGCGGTAAAAAAGGAAAAAAAATCGGCAGTGGTTTGGCGTGGTCTGTACCCTCATCGACAACGATAGATGCCATCACAGTGGTCAAATTTTGTTGCAGACTTACTCGGCTGCGCTTCGAGAGTCCACAACATTTTGACCACTGTAATGACGAACACTAAGAGTACAGACCGCGATAAACCAACAGTAGATATTTGCTCGCCCGTTGGTTCCGATCTGTTTTTAGCTGTTTTTACGGACTCCATCAGGGAGTGTTTTAAAGCAAACTGAACGACTCAAAGCCTGACTATTGTGGAGAACAGGGCTACAAACACATGTGAAAGGTGCCCATCTTATTTAGTTAGCCATTTAGCTCGCATGATTGTACAAGACAGAATTTCTCCTTACAATATCCATGCAATATCAAGCAGACAGGTGACGAGAACGAAGAAAATATCAGCTAAGAGGTTATAAGTTACTACAATACCGAATTCTTTAAACTTAGATCATAAGAGTTGTGTGGCAAACCGTAGGAGGAACGATTAATGCGATTTAGGAAGTGAGACTTGGGGTTAATTAAATCCTGCGGTGTTCACAAAAATTTCATCGTTTCCAGTGCGGGTTTTATGTAGGTAAGTGTTGCGTGTATTCGAGGGCGGCTTTTATTTCAACACTTAACACTTGTTGCATCAATCATTGCCTTTTTGGGGGGGAGGGGGAAGGGAGAAGGAAAGGGGGGATGTTTTAGGTTGTGCGACAATAAAGTTAATTAACCTCATTTCTCTCTCCCCCCCCCTCTTCCTAAGGCTCCGTAGTATTCTAATGCTCGCTCCTCATGAGTAGTCAACTTCCATATTCCTCCTTTATAATCTTTTAGCAACGACTGTTTCACCGTCCCGTTCGCATTAAAAACCATGTAAAAACCATGTCCCCCCAAATCTTCCTTTTCCCGCCGCCCTCCCTCCCCCCAAGTGACAAATAATTTTTTGTGTGAACGCGGAGCATGGTTAAAGTTCGAATGACTCAGTTATTTTCTCCGAAATAGATGGTGCATAACAAGGACACGAAGGATGGTATGATTGTTGAGTTGTACCGCACTTTTTCTTAAACATCTCGACCTCAATTCGCATACTTCTGGTTGGGTGCCGTGTTTCAGTGTTCGAAGGAAGTTTTTCAATGAACAAAAATGATAGTAATTGTTTCACCTTGCATGGAGCTCACTGTCAGAGCGTCGAAATAGCACTGAGTCCTATTGCTGCTAACTTTTAAAGGTATTCATCCAATAATTGGCCCATTACGTTCTTGAGACTTTTTTGAAAATACGAATATTTCAATTGATAAAACAAAATAAGTTTAATCATTGAAGGTGAAACACACGCTATTTATTTAATAACACGATTTAAAACGAGAGAACTAAAGCTATTCTGGCCTCAGTTACAAATTCTGACAATTTGTGGTCCGTTGTCATCAATTCTTTTCTCTCTTCTTAATTATATCTCAAGTCTATCGTAAGCGTTATTTTTTTTTCCTTTGGACTCGTCATAACTTGCTTATTTTTATTGCTATTTCCTTTTATTATTCATACTAACATTACTTTTTTCTTCTTTGCTTTCAATCTAAAGGAGCTTTATCTAGCACTAAATAGCTGCTCTTTTCAAAATAACATCAGGGAGATAATTACATCTATAAATCAGCTCTTCTCCAAAGGCCACCTGCCAGTTCCAAATCCTCCCGAGTTGTCCACGTGATAAGCACGGGTATGTTCTACGTTAACGGCAGCCACATTCTGTGGCCACCATGTTTCGGTATTGGCGCAGTATCACGTGACCATCTCTCTTAAAGTACATGATTCCCAGCATATCGGTGCTGAAGTTTGTGGCGACGCAGCAGTGAAGGGCTACCTTGCCTCCCCCATCCATCCGCTCCGCGGCGAGGGAGCGAACCATAGCATGGTTGCTGAAACTGGCCGGAGCAGCATTCAAGTCACACTTTCCCACACAGTTATAGGCATTAAATGACAGTGGAGCGATGAGGAAGCTCCCGAAAGTCTGCTTGGTGTTTATGTACATGTCTCGTCTGGTGCACAGATCAGTTTTGTTGGCAGATGGCTGGAAAGACGTCTTGTTCATCCCAATATCTCGACGAAGGCGACTAAAAGAAATATAAAACACTCAATTTGTTGACAGTGCAATGATCGTAGGGAATATTCATAATGTAACGCCAGGGGGAGAAGGATATTGGTTTAGCCTCTTAGGGCCCTGCAGTATTCTGATCCCTCTCTACATGGCAGCTGATTTCTGATGGTTCCCCCTTGCGTTAATTAGTGTTTAAGAAAGCATGTGAAGAGAGCAAAACTCACCTCCTCAAGAAAGGTGCATAGTCAGCTTCCTGAAGCTGTCTTCCGTCGGTGTAAATAACCATAAACACTCCATCTGAGTCCCCACTCGTTGCGTTGCAGATCAGAGCTTTTGGAACAGTGTTATTAGCTGAGGCTGTCACTACTTTTACCTGAACCTCATGGATTGCGCCAGTGGATTGAAACCATTGCACAACGGCTGTCTCGACCATTGGGAACACGATCCAGTTGGAATCTGCCCCTCGATGTGCAGATTTGGTGATGAGCTTGCCTGAATTCTTGTCGTAGAGGCCGAAAGTGGCTATTTCATCATCACTAAAGGTCTTTCCCGCGATGTGAGAGAACTTTATCCTGATTTCGGCCTTTTCGATGTGTTCTTTAGGATCAATCCCCTTCACGTCGAAACAGAAAAGTTTGCAAGCGGCATCAACTGCAAAATTGATACAAGTCGCATTGTATATGAATAATGTGAGTGATTTGTGGGATTCACTGAGTTGGTTATTTTTGTTTTCATCTTCTCTTAGTGCTTTCTGGTTTTAATCAGGTTTTTGTTTGTTTGTCTTATTCGCTCGGTGCAATTTGGGCGTATTCTTTGGAACGTATTCGACTCGCTTTAAAGCGAGTGACTTGCTACTTAGCTTTCGAGACCGAAACAAAATCTGGCAAATTATGTTAATTGTATAAGTTGGTAAAAGATAGTAGTATGTGAATATAGAGTTGATTGAGTAGGATTAGACATGAGGAAATAAGGATTTAGAAACGATTGAATATATACACGAACCCCGGTTTTCTTGCGATTTCAAAACCATTTTAGTTACCCTCCCCTCCAGAATTTCGAATTCTTCCTTCCATGTAGAGCGGTTCAGAAAGTCAGAAAGTCAGTGCACAGAAGGTTGACTAGAACGAAATGGGTCTTGGACCAAAATTATGAAATAAGCATTTTAGAAACAATTCATACATAATCTCATGATATTTTAGCGTTTGATGAGATGTTTAGATTCACATGAAATCATTCCAATCTGGCTCAATGTTAGTACCGAGAACTGGGTTTTTATAGCTATTGATAATGAAAAAATATTTCCAGTAATATTCCTCTACACACCTCATACCATCAACAAACGATTAACCGAAAATCTCACCTATAAGTGCTGAAACAGATGGGTGGATTCTCATAAAAGAACATCAATTTAACAAAATATCTAAGGTAATTACCTTGTGTTTTTTTTTTAACATAACTGATAAAAAACCAATACTTTCAAGAATATTCTCCTAATTTAGTTGTGAACATCGAAACTGCCTATAAGACTGAGGTTAGTTTAGTTATCGGTTTCATTAATCTCAAATTAAATACTTCCTGAGAACAATATACTTTTTTATCATACCATTTCCCTGAACAGAGTGGATGATTTCTGAAACTGTAGAATTACTCGTTTTAACCTGCCCATCGTCATAGAAATGGTTCTGGTAAAGATTCCTAAGGAAAATCTCTGCAGCTCCACCCGCAGTGACAACTTTTCCGACTTGAAAACCAGGGTTCTTTCGTGTGTGGGAATTTGTTTTCACTTGAGCTCGCCCATTATCTTGCGGTCGCCCATATGAACAACTCAATAAGTATACCAAAACCAATAGAATACCAAAGCGCGACATGGTTTTTTGGGACAGAGACATGTACACTGGGCTTAGGGATGCTGCAAAATGAACCTGGGTGTTATTCCGTCAGTTATATATGCTCTCCCGGTGATCTAGGCTATCATTTGAAAGCTATTTATAATCAGTCAAACGTTAATAGATTTAAAGAAATTAGTTTATCTTAAGTGATACCCACACCGCGGAAGCTGTTTAATGCCGAAACGTTGCTATTTGAGATATTGCGCACTTTCAACTGAAACTAGAATATCTGAACAAGATCAGAATCTGGTGCGTGGCAACTGCTTAAATTAGAAATTTGTTGCGTGCTCAAGGGCTGCTTTCTGCCGACCCTTGTCTGACGGGGAAACCACAGTTACAAAGTTAGCACGTTTTGTAGGAAAAAAAAAAGTGATCTCTGGACACTCAGATGATTTACAATTGGAGATCACACAAACAAGGTACTGTTCCAACTAAGATATTTTTGTTCATTTTCCCCTTTTTGATTCAAGGAGACCAACTGGAGTAATTTCCTGTTTTTCTCGGCAAGTGTGTCCATTTTAGTTCAGAAAAGCATCTGCTCCATTGACTAAATATGCTACAAAATAACGAGGATTATTAAGTAGGAAAATCTATTAAAAGTTTACCTCAACAAACGGGAAAACGACTGCTGGGTTCAGCTGAGTGGCACAACGAGGGGATAGCATTGAGGCAAAAAACCGCTCGTGAATGTCTCATTGAACGCATATGAACGTGAATGTCTCATGAACGCATATTTCTCTGCGCTGCTTTTTTGTAATGACGCATATGAAAATGACGCATTTTTGTAATGACGCACCTAAAAAAGGACCGAATCATCGAAACCAAACCCTACCATTTTAAAGAAAAGGTTAGGTTTGTACATGCTTTGACATTGGATATCGTATTTTCGAGCTTGTTTTTCCCGGAAATAGGGCATATCAACCCCTTCCGTTGACAATTTCGACTGTGTTTCGAGTGGGCATCGAAGAGGGAAAATCTCAGAGAAGTTTGATGTAATCAGTATCACCTCCATTTTTCAGAAGGTTTAATTATGTTTCTGTTATTAGTTATAACTTATAGAAAGAATCTGTGAAATGCGTGACGTGATGTTCACCACCGCGGACGCAAACATCTTCCCACGCTTTCAAAATAGGTCAGACTTTACCGATAATATACTTTACGGTATTATTGTATCCTCTTATCGGAATTAAATCCCATTTTCCGGTGTTGAATACACGATTAGTAGGTTCTAAAACTGAGCAACTTTGAGGAACAAAGCAACCATACCGGCGGAAGGCTATGATTTTCAAGACTAGCTTTCGGTTATAGAAGCTAAGGAATGGGTTTTACATATTTCCTGATTTCTTTAGAAAGAAACGGAGTTGATCGCTTGTAATCTTGGAATTTTTATCATTTAAAAAAATTTATACTAAAATAGAATTTGCAATTAGTTCTCTTTATCCTTTTTATTGACTGATTGATTGAGCGTTGACTGCCCCCTGATTAATTCGTGGATCGATCCATTTAGCATTACTTCTGCTCTATATTTGTACCACGATGCTAACTATAATTCCAGACGACAAAATTAATAAGGCGTCAGACCTGTTTTTTTTTTATTTTGTTTTGTTTTGTTTTGTTTGTTTTTTTGTACCTTTTTGGGATTCAAAAGAAGACCTGTCGCGCAAAAATATTCGATGGCTGGTTGGCAACAGTAAAAGGTGCATTTAGCTCAAGTTAATTTAAACATTACATCTAATAGTGAAGTTGTCAACACAAAAGCAACACAGCATAGCTGTGGTTGTAGAATGCAATCATGTTTTCATTTCTCAATCGGATTTAAGGTCTAATTCTTTCATATACGGGGATTGTTTAAAGAAGATCGTCGCCCCTGCCCATATGGTGAAGAGATTTGCTTCTTTGTGTGGGGAAGTTTGTAATTTTGTTTTTCATTTTTTTACAGAAAGAAGGGCTTGCTAAAAAAAGAGAAGGTGACGCACATCGCCCACGCATTAAAGAAGAGCTGTATTTGGTATGCCTGTGAAAGACTAAAATTTCAACAAACAAAGTCCTCAAAACTCAAGTGTTTTTTATTTCTATAGCTTGGGAAGCCGACTTCTCAGGTATCACAAGAAATCCTGCCTATCGTGCGGTATTTTCTGTTCTAGCGCGAGACGAAAGCGGACGCTAATAGCACGAAAAAATTATAGAAAGATACGCTAGAGATAATTGGACAACTGGTGCATTTCCCATTCTATATCTAAGCTTTGGCCGCTAAGTTAAATAATCATATGACCCGTCCGGTCCCTCATACACAATCCCATAGAAGCCATAGCGAAAGTTGACAGTGTAGGGCCTGATAGATTGACGTGGCTGGTCCGGAAAAAGCCGTCCGGCCCTGGTGCACTGATATGGCAACATTTTTCGCTGTTGTTTCAAAAAAAGAGTGACAGCAGTGAGCAAAAATAAAAAGTTAAATCACGATTTTTGATTACCTCTGAGTTTCTTGTTCTGACGTACATTTTGTTCTTGAAAGACAAAAAAAAAAAAAAAAGGAAAAGTTTTTATTGTATAATCTTTTTCATGGTTTTCCGGCGTGTGCCAGTCTGTCGCGTCCTATTTAAGCTAAAACAAGGTAAGCGAATTTTTCGAAACTTAGTCAATGGTCTTACGATAAAAATTATTGACTAAGTTAAGTCGGGCAGGATAGGAAAACATTTGTCTCTCGTTCATGACGTCATGATGTACGGACCTCCGCCTGCGCTTGGTCCGTACGTCACTGATGACCTCGAGCCAAATATTTTCCCTTTCCGCCCCCCTACCTAGTCAATAAGTACATATCATTTTTAGTGATAATGAACCGTTTGGTGTCTATTCATTGATCTTTTATACACCTAAATATACACATAAAGCTGGCTTGTCTGTTTGGCTTGACACCAAATCATTTCACATTATGCTATGTTACTTAAGACTTACCCTTGTTAATTTTACCTTGGAAACTACACGAGTTGTCGCGAGGGTTATCTAACTTTATGTGAACCTCACCAAGTTATTAATTTCAAAGAGCTGTGAGCTGTTTCTTCGCAAAATTATCATCAAGTTGATAGATTTTAGACTGACGTAGAACTGTAGCTAACTTGTCTCAATTTGTTTGTTGACTCGTTAATTGAGCTTTAGCTGATTAATTGTTGGGCTCATTAATTTAGCATTAGCACCGTTCTATTTCTGTATCTAATAACCCATTAGTTACTGGTCAACATCATGTCTCACCTTCTTTCAAATGATTTCTGTTTACGAAAAAGATGTCATGAAAAAAAACTAAATGGCTGGTTGGCAACAGCAAAAAAATGCATTTAGCTCAAGTATAATAAGTATTATATCTGAAAGTAAAGTTATTAGCAGAAACAACAACCGGGGAATCATTGGTGCATAATGTCATCATGTTTTCATTAATTAGATTTACAAATCATTATTTCTTTATGAATGGTGACTGTTTGAGAGATTGTCGCCCATGAGTTGAAGGGATTTGTCTCTGTGCGTGATACTTTGTAATTATTTTCCTTTTTTTTTTTTTTGAGAAAGGAGAGCCCACCTTTTCACTTAATAATAGAAACTTTTTGTAAAAAGAGATAGGTGATGTCTAATAAAAGGAATGATGCTAAACAGTAAGTAAAAAAGTAAGCAAAAGTCCGTACTATGAATATATGAAGTTCATATATTTTGAACTGCGGTTATAGATACGTATGATGCACGACCCTCGCAGTAGAGAGCGCTATTTATGCAATAGCGAAAATCAGACCTGAAAAAAATCAGGCCTGTACGGGATTCGAACCACTGACCTCTGCGATACCAGTGCGTACTACTCACGTGTGGAAGTTTACTGTAATCTGAGGAGCCAATTTCTCAGGCCTACCTCGAAAAAGATGTCGAAAGGAACGCCAGACAAAGTCATCAACTGGTGTAGCTTTTACATTATTTTACATAACGCTGATAGGGAACCGTTTGGTGTCAATAGATTTAACTTTTGCACGGAATTCTTGTCTGTCTGGGAAGGCACTAAATAATTTTACATTATTCTAAACCTTGGAAGCTTAACTTCGTCACATTTACCTTAAAAACGACATCAGTTGTCGATGGGTTTGTCCGGTTAAAAATGTCTAAATGAACTGCATTTAATTGTTTACCGGCTGAGGCTTTGCCATTTCAGTAGCACATCCGATCCGTTTATCAGTCATGCGGTTCTTGGACCAGTTCAACCAGGGTGACGATGCAATCTTTTAACTGTCTAAACCATTCCGCCATTATTTTTTTTTTTTGTTAATTTTTGAATCGACCAAAGACGAGTTATTCCTTTGGAATTTAACTGTTTCCTTTCACAATTGATATGAAGTCTTTCAAATGCTCCCGAGGTTTTATCAATTCTATTATTCTGAACCATTAATAACGCATTTTGTTCCATGGCTGCCCAGGTCCTAC